AAACTTTACACAATTTTAGATCTGAAAGAGACTCAAACCCAGTATCTTCTATATGTTTTTTATCCTGATACAAGATCAATTATTAGTGTTTTCTATATGTACTAGTTACATAGTAATCTAAATGAAATAACTCCAGGTCAATAAATATTTAAAAAGAAAAAAATAGAGGGAAATTACTAAGTGGATGGTGGACGTATTTTAAAATGTTGAGAAGATTGCAATAACAATATAATATATGCATTTTAATGTAAAACTCATGATCTGCTCTGTAGATCTTCATTTGATTCAAATTAAACATTTTTAATAGAATTGTTCTTAAAGTTTCAGTTTACTACCACAGGCAATTTCCAGTTCAAATATACTAATAATACATATCCCTCCATAATTTTTTGCATCTGGCTTATGCAAAGCACCATATTTTTACATTTCATGGTTTTGTTTTTAATAGATTTTTATGTTTTATTTTCTTATAAAGGAAGGGAAAACAGAAGAGAAGGAAAATTGAAATAAATATTCCATAAGGGTAAGTTCATCTTTGAAAGACCAACAATGTACTAACTTGAAAAAATTATTGTTGGGTTCTAGGGATACTTAGTGAATAATCAACATATTTTTAGTAGAGGCCTATTAGTAAAGGCAGGTGAAAGCACTTAGCATACATTCACGGTACATCGATTTACTGTTAAGATTAGTAGCTCTTTTGATTAAGATTTCATATTCCTCTGTGACTTGTGATGTTTCTTTGCAGTATACTAAGTTTCTATTATATTTAGAAAAAGTTACAAAATAAAAAGGTAGATTGTATAGAAAATAATTTGTTTGTAATTTAATGTATAAACAGAAACATAGCTTTCCTCTTCTTCAATAAAATCATGCATTGTATCTAAGGTACGTTTAATTTTATGCATACATACATTTTATTTTGATTTCAATTTCCCAGGAACAGTTTCTCTTAAAAATACAAAAGGGGGCATGAATTGTCAAATGCCATTCTGAATGAAGAGGTAAACTGTAATTTGGGGTTGATGAATTGATATATTTTAACAAAAGGCAATATGCTCATTAGCAATCACATAAAATTATTCTAATATTTTGTTTCTGTAATATACAATATACAATGGTGAGTATAGTAAATGGAAAAGCTAAGGTTGCAAAAGGGGAAATGGATTACACTGATACTATGGATTAAAGCATTTTAAAGTTTCACATGTGTTAATATTCTTCCACTGTGCTTTCCTACTTACCAGAATTATGTTGATAATTCATCCTTTCTCCATAGGTTTTGAACTCACAAAATAACAGATCAATTAATTGTTTACAGATCAAGTATGTTCATCTTTATCAAGCTCCCATTTGTAAATTTTGCGAAAACAAATTTATAATGTTCAAGTGAGGTTGAAAGACATCAAAACGTTTCAACATATTATAATTCATAGGCTTACACTGTAATGCATTTTTCTGCGAGTTGTAATTAGATATGAAATGTTATGATAGTTATTCCCTAGCAAGTAAATGTGTCATTTTGGGTCATATAACCCAAAACTCAATTGTTTAAGTTAAAAGTTCACTGTATACCTCATAGGTCTCTTTAACTGATAAATTACTGATACAATGATATAAGGTGATCAAATTCTATATTTTCTTATAGCATAACTTTCTATGTTTTACTATAAATACACATTTGCAGAAAAGGATTTTGCACTTTTTAAGAATTTAATTGTGGTGGAAACATAGAGAACAAAACATTTGCAGTTCAACAATTTCTACATGTATGTCCTAATGGCATGCATTACTCTCTTAATATTGTCCAACTTTTAGAACTATCTTTGGCAACTTCCTGGGGAGAAACACTGTGGTGGCTCTACCTTGCCCTAGAGGCTCACTGTGAGTTTGCATAGACTGGATGGCAGTGAGTTTGCCTTTGGGTTTTCCACCACTGTTGACATAGACTCAATGCCTCCCAAGCAAACCCTGTTCTTTCTCTTTTCCTTCCTCTCCTGCTAACCAAAAATGACCATTGAGTTCTCTATAAATGCTTACCTCACATGAGCGAGATCACTCAGTGTTTTCTCCTTTGGTGACTCTTTCATTTTGCTCAGCATAAACTCTGCAAGGTCGAACCATGCAGTGCCATGCATGAGGTCTTCGTCTCTCTTCATAGCTGAATAATTTTCCATTGTGTGCATATACCACAGTTTGCTCATTAAAATGCTGAAGGACATTCAATTATTTCTGCTTTGGGCTACTATGAAAGGTGCTGTGATGAACATGGGTGCACGTGTTTCTGTTTGTGTTCCTCGTTTCCTTCTTCTGGCCATAAACCTATGGTTGAGATGGCTCAAGCATATGGAAATTCGATGTTCAAAAAGTTTTAAAGACCCCC